ATAAGTTTAATAAAAGTATGATAGAAGTTTAATATATATTTCATATACAGTAAACGCTACATGGCAAAAAGCTTTAATTTGTTTTAGGCTTACACATATTCTTTGAACGCATAAAAAGTCTATAAATTATTTATAAACCTTTTTTCAAACATATTACAAAAGATCAATAAAGTAATCCAGAACTTAATAACACACTTATTTCAGTGGAAATTTAAATTATTGATTGTTTAACGTTGTTTTATTATACAGTAGTGTTTTATTAAACACTTTACAGAAAGTAATGTGAATAACACTTAAAAAACATTTTCTTATATAATATATTGAGTCTTTAGAATTAAAATCTTTCCATAATCTCACATAATATAACAAAATCTTAAAAATTATTAATGCGTCAATTTGGCAGAAATAAATTATAATTATTTAGCCATTAATTGCATAGAGATTTGCTATTATAAAATATAAATCTAGTTTTTAAGATTTATAAGAGACCAAAACTTTTTTAAATAAACCTTCTCATGTAACAAAGAATAATAATAATAAATACTTGTATTCTTTAATTTTCATAAAATTTTAGTAACTTTCATATACAGTATAATATAAGACTAATGTTATAATTTATACATTGTAAATTTACTACAATGCCACAATAAAAAGTTTAATTACAATCCCTATGGTATGCCCTTATAATTTTGCATAAGAGTTTAATATTATATTTAAAATCGCTATCTCCATAGAAATCCTTTTGAAACTTAAGACTTTAATTACGAGTGTCTATCAAAAAATTAGAAAATAATTAATTTGAGATTAAAGCCCACTATTTACTAGTTAACTGTTTAGTAGTTTGCATACATTTTCTAATAACTTTGCTGTCATTGTATTAAATACGCGAAAGTCAATGACTTTCTTTGGAAATACATTATAAGTAGTGATTATACCGTATGTCTTAATAACATGCAAAGACATGGGATAGTATACCTAATTAATGCACAAGTTTGCAGATCGTTAACATTGAACTATAACTCCCTTTGTGAGGTACTATTAATATTTAATAGACAGTTCCTTAAACTATAAATATGTGTAACCAGAAATAAATAATATCCAAATATAAGAGTAAATATTAAGCAATAAATTTCATGGAAATGTTTATAAGAATGATCGTTTTGTCACATTAAATAAATTCACTATTTATATCATTTTTATACATGTACAAATGAAATATTTTATACTAACTAGTAAATTTTATTATTATATTTATGCTATAATATGTTATATGTTAATATGTTATACATTACATTCACTTTGAAAGTCTTACTAAATTCTTGTATTGACTTAAAAACAATATTAATTAAAATACGAATTCTTGAAAAGTTTATTTGTAAATAAATGAATTGCATATGATGAACTGGTATCTTTAATGATTATTATACTTGAATATTGAATTACTATATGACTTACCCTAAAGTTGGCACTCATGAAGCAATAAATAAATGGATTAATGCATGAATTAGCCATCGCTATCCAATGAGCAATGAAATACGAGCCCACAAACAGGTAGTATTGAAATGGACTGGGATTTGATACGATGGACGGACGGAATGTGAGCACAAGTATGAATATATGCATCGGAAGCCTATTTGCCAATAAGACATCAGTTTCTTAAATGTCATTAGTTTTGGGAAAAGTAACAAAATAGTCATTAATACCGACCAACACAACACAAATAGTATCCATACGGCGAACAACATCTTGATTACCTGTTATTAAAATGATTTTTATTTCATTAATCAAATTATCATAAATAAAATTTTTTCTTTAAGTATTCATATTAAATATAACATAGATTAGGAGCCATTCAATAAGTAGGTATGCAAAATTTGGGCAAAAATTCATAAGCTTTATCTAAGACCTCCTTCAAAACGTACGTTGACTCTCACTGTACCCCTCCCCCCAAATAACATACTCTTTTATACGCTTTTGACCTGACCCTCACACCTACCCCGTACGTACGTACTTATTGAATGGCCCCTTAAATAGTTTGGAAATATACGAATTAAAGGAAATTGTTTTATTATATATAATAAATAATATTGGAGATTATAAACTTAACTAGTTTGTAGTAATTGTAGCAATTCATAGGTTTATACAGTAAATAAAATAAATGTTAAATAATATGTGATATAATCACTTACTTTGGATTTATTATTAGCCCGCAAATGAAGGGATTGGGAACTGTTGGGTGCCTTATAGAAGAATATCTTGTATCCGATATTGCCGTAAGTGTAAGCCAGGCTATAAATAGTTTATAAAATAAATTATATATTTGCTAATATTTGATACTTTTTATATAAATGAACCTATTTGGTGCTTTGATATTTAGTATTCAAAATACAAATAAAAACTTATATACTTTAGGCCCTAGTATACTTTATACTTATATAAGTTTAGGGATTAGTAGGATAATAATATAGAAATCTGTTATGTAATTTGGATTTAGACAATAGTTATCCATATAAGTAAACAAACGGATCAGACAACTATTGGTTGAAATAATATAAAACATTAAACCAATGAACGAAATAATGGTTTATAAATAGCATTAAGTTTTCATTACACAAACAGTGGCACTAAGAATGTCAATAGAAATATGATGACAGTATACGCCTTTCCCTCGGCCTCATCCCATTCCTCTCGACAGTCATAATACGTGATATTCTTGTAGAGAAAGGCCACTGTTTTGGAGTGGAAGACCTGGACACTACCCAGTAGTGTACCAAAAATCCAGCCGATCACCAACATTAGATTTGTGTGATGTTTGAACCAATAATTGGCGCAATTAAATGAGTGTATTGTTGCGAAATACCTGTCCATTCAAAG